GGGTGCCATGTTATGTTTTAAAAAGCACCACTCCACTAGGTATGATAGTGAACAGTACAAACAGGAAAGCAGGCTGTGCTGATGAACATCCTGACAACTCCCTCCTTCTGACTTTTCCTTTACTATAAAGATTCTGTTAGTGTTTTAAATGCTATTTGGGGCTTTCATAATCCAGAGCATTGTAAGGACAGACTTGCCTAGATTGAGGCTTACTGTCCCCTTTAGATGACATTCTGGCAAAGGCTGTTTCTGGTGGTGAGTGGGAGAGCCAGGTAGTGTGCCCTCTGTAGAAGCACATCTGGAACAAGAAGAAACTTGGATTTCAAAAAGATGCTTTTGCCAGTAAGGAAATTTCAGGGTGGACCGGAACTGGGGAAAATACTGAAAGGAGAGTGAACTCAGGTACCAAGTGTTTGGCTGTGTGCGTTTGGGACTCCATGTTCTTCATCCGCTTACTCAAGAAATATTGACCAAAGGCCTGTGATATGCAAGGGACAAGCACAAAGCAAAAACACATCTTAAACACTGAGTGGGAATGCCCCTAAAGCAGGTATAAATTTGGCAAAAATAAAGAACCCAGATGTCCAGTGCTTCCTGATGAAATTGTCCCAAACAGTCCTTGCTGACTGTTTTCACTAGTCCACACTCCCTCTGCTATGGTCTGAATGTGTCCCCCCAAATTCATAGGTTGACAATCGCTGATGTGATGGTGTTGAGGCAGCTGGAGGGAGTGGGTTTGCTCCTTTCATGTCTTCGGTGTGAGAGCATGCAGCAACAAGACACTGTCTATGAGGGACAGGGCCCTCGCCAGACACTTGCTGGTGCCTTGGTCTTGGACTTCCTTGCCTCCAGAACGGTGAGAAATAAATGTCTATTGTTTATAAATCGTGCAGTCTGTGGTCTTCTGTTAACAGCCGCACAAACTGAGACACTCTACTTTTTCTTTGCTCCTCTTTCCTCTCCTTGCTTCTTGGCATGTGTGCAAAATTCGTGCAGTGTCCTCCTTCCTGCCACTCCACACACCTTTCCAGATGGCAGAACCACAGAGCACACTCTACTCCGGCCGCACCCCTCCATCTTCCCAGACCCTCACCTGAGTCGGGTGTCCTGGGCCTGGCAGGAACAATGGAAGCTTGCCTGCCACAGAGCCTGCTGTCTGGGACTATGTCGTGTGGTGTTCTTGTGGTCCTGGGCCACTCAGGCGGTGGAGAAACAGTAAACAAAGGGTGAGTTCCTGGTCTCCCCCCACGCCACCCCAGCACCTCCGCCATGGACACCGTTGCACCCTGTGGCTAAGCAACCATGTGCCTTCAGCCCGGGGTTGACGCTTGGGCCAGCTTCATGTTTAGGTGGCATTGGAGGGAGAGGGACACCTCCCACTGCTTCCACAAGGGACGCTTAGCTACCCAGCCCACAGAAGGGACACTGCTCAGAAACCACCTCAGTGAACTTGGGGAGGGTGAAAGACAAGGAAGGAAGAGAAGAGGAGGGGGTGAGGGGGAGAAGAGAGGGAGGGAACTCGGGCAGAGCAGAGAAGCCAACCAGAGCTAACACCACAGCCCGCCTGTTCTCAAGGCCGAAATGCTGAGAAAGTCCATTCCCGGCCCGTGTTCTGGTCCGAGTTGCCGGGCCCCCTGGCTCTCTTCTGGCATTTTCTGCCTCTGCCTCATTTTCTTGGTGGGCCAGGTGGGCTTGCTGCAGGGACACCCCCAGTGCCTAGATTACGGGCCCCCCTTCCAGCCCCCTCTGCACCTCAAGTTTTGCTCTGACTATGCTGACTTCGGCTGCTGTGACCAGCGTAGGGACCATCGCATCGCTGCCCGCTACAGGGACATCATGAACCACCTTAGCCTGAAGGGCCATGAGCTGTGTGGAGGCCACGTTAAAGACATCCTTTGCCAGGTGGGTCTGCGCGTGAGCCCGCAGGGCAGTGGAGGAAAAGCGCCTCCCCTGAGAGCGCGGGCTCTGCCCAGGCCGGCGGGGGCCGGGGCCCACCCAGCGCGCTAACCGGAGCCTTCGGCGTCCGCGTCCCCTGCGGTGCCCCGAGGGCGGGCGCCCGTGACACTGACGAGTTGCTTAAAGGGAGGGGGTGGGGCACCCTCTGGGTCCGTCCTCGCTCGTCTGGGTGGTCTGTGCCAGGGCGTCCTTGGAGTGGGGAAGACGGTGTCAGGGGTGGGGGCTCTTGTAGGGTCCCGTCTGCCCGGCGTTGAGAGCTGGTCAGAGCTGCAGGCGGCTGCTGGCAATGACACCGAGTTCCCGCTGCTCCTGGCTCTCCGGCGCCAAGATCCACAGCCCCAGGAGCTATCGGCTTAGCTGAGTTCAGCCTGGAAACGCGGCGAGCGTCGGCTGCACCACCCGCTTTGTGGGAAGGGGCGTTTAGGGGCACGGAGCGGGAGGTCACATCAGAGAGCTGGTGAAAGAGGTCACTATATGGAGAAGCCCTCTAATGACGAGTTGGAGACAAGAGGCAGAAAGTCCAGGCACACCTTTGACCTGAGACCCTCCTGGGTGTGTCAGCGCCATTACCTGGCCGCCTGCCGCATCTCGTGACATCAGCACCAGACCTCCCGCTGCCACTGTTCCGAGCGCACTGGCCACCCCGACTCCCCGAGCGGTGTGCGCAGAAGTTAACTGAGCTTCCCAGGGCCCCGGTGGGGATCACAGCCAGATCTGGCACACAAGCCAGCCACCTGGGTGGCACTGCCCCGGGCTGTGCTCTCACTCTGTGCACCCTCCCCTCCACCCCACACCGTTTCCTGGAGGATTAACTCTGGGATAACCATTTTGGTAGAAGCTGGGCTTTTATGAGCAGCACCGAGGCTGTTCATCTATGAGATCTCCCGTGGTAAAAATGTCTCCTACCTCCCCCTTCTCTCCTGGGCAAGGTTTCCGGAAACCGTAATTAGCAGCTCTCTTGTTTTAGGAATTTGAGGAATAAGAAAAATTTCAGGCAAACAACCTTACCCGTGTCTATTCATTAAAATTTCCAAGGCCCTCTTTCTTCCCTGCACATGTACTGTGTTCCCAGCAATGGTTCTGCAGGCAGTTATTATGACCTCCATTTTACTGATGGGGTTCTGGAGTTTTAATGACTTGTCCAAGGTCAGACAGTTCCGGAAAACAAATCTAGATGCTCAGACTTCAAGTTTTGTGCCGTTTTCATCACACCATGCCAAAGTACAGTACTAGCAACACTGGCCCATTCTGGCAAGAGAAGGGAGATCCATCAGAACTGAAAATGTGCACTTAGCTCACTGCTGCAACCCTAGTGCAGAGAATGTTGCCCGGCACATAGGAGAGACTCCAGGAGAGTCTCTGCCCTGGCCTTAGTTACCTTAAAACAGAGAAACATTTTTTCGTTACTGAGCTAATAGAGTAGCAGCAACTTTGCAAACTAAATGGCTGTGCCACAGTGTTTCCTTCTGTTCCCTGGTATTTCATTCTTATTCTCCTCTCCCCTCTCTTTTATTCCCACTCCCCAAGAGTGGACAGAGTTAGTGAGGTGCTTTAGTCCGTTTTTGTTGCTATAACAGAAATACCTGAGACTGGGTAATTTATAAAGAAGAGAGGTTTATTTGGCTTACGATTCTGGGACAGCTGCATCTGGCATGGGCCTCAGGCTGCTTCTACTCATGGCAGAAAAGTGGCAGGCAGCCAGCGGGTACAAGCAGATCACATGGTGAGAGGAAGCAAGAGAGAGAAGCAAGAGGAAGCAAGAGAGAGAGAGAAGGTGCCAGGGTCTTTTTAAGCAATGAGCTCTGGCGGAAACTAAAAGAGCGAGAACTCACTCATTAACCCCCCTCCCCCAGTGAGAGCATTAATCCATTCATGAGGGATCCGCCCCCATGACTCAATCAGTTTCCAACACTGGCACATTGGAGATCAAATTTCCAAATGAATTTTGAAGGGGGCAACACATCCAAACTCCATCATGAGGAGACACTCAAGAGCGGGTCATTTTGCTTCTTGTTAGCAGCTCTGACAAGTATCCTTTTTTGTCTTTTTTCGTGTCCGGCAATGGATCACAACCCTCAGTGTCGCGCCCGTACCGGACCGGCAACGGGTCGCAACCCTCGGTGCTGCGTCCGCACCTCGCTCAGCCAGTGAGCGGAACCGGTCTGTATGTGGGATCCGAACCCTTGGCGGGAGCGTCGCTGCACTCCCAAGCGCGCACTGTAGCAGTGTGCCACCCGGCCGGCCCTCTGACAAGTATCCTAAACCAAAATAGACTGCCCAAGGACAGACGCTGTGAATCTCTGGGCTCCTTCCCTTCTTCCCAATAACTAAGAGCTTGCTCTGCAAGCTACAAAAGGGAAGTAAGAGAGGACAGGGAAGTTACATACACATGAAAAATGCTGCTTGTCCCTTCATGAGATGGTGAGAGAACAGAGGTGTGTGGGACAGGTCTGCTCAGGCCAGCTGGCTTGGGAGAGCCATTAGCAGTCAGAAGGGGGCTCTTGGGACAGTGGTCTCTGCTATGCTGCATGGCCCCAAATAATACCCTTTTAGCCAACCTTTCTTACTTTCCCCATCTCAGTTGTCTCTGTCTTTCATCACTATTGGGAGTTGCTTGTCTGCACACAATATTCTATTTTCTTCCTAAAAAATGCTATAGTCTAGGGAGGTCCAAATAGCAGATACACCTTTGGGCACAAGGTCCTCTTATGTTTGTGTAAAGAGCAGTCATATTGCCCTATAGTCACACTTCGAATTTATATAGTCTTTAGCATGGTGCTTTGTATATAATACACATAAGTATTTTTAATAAATTAGTGAAAAAATTACTAGATGCCTAATCTCTGGGACTAATACATCAAGTGTCTATTTTATAAATTTTATTTTTAATTGTAAAATATTTCAAAAATATGGAAAAGCAAAGAAAATTAAATAATTAACACTGTATATCCAACACCCAGTTTTTTTTCATTGATCAGTAAAACATTTTAATTTTTGTTTTTATTCTTTTTCTTTTTTCATTGTATATGTTTGTGGGGTATAGTTTGTTGTTTTAATACATGCACATATTGTATAATGATCTAATCAGAGTAGTTAGCATATCTATCACTAAACATTTCTCATTTCTTTGTGGTTATATCCAAGATCCTCTTTTCTGGCTCTCTTGAAATACACAATGCAGTATTATTAGCTATTGTCACCCTAGAACCCTAGAACTTATTCTTGCTCTCTAATTGTAACGTTGTAACTTTGTACCAGTCCACCAACCTTTCCACAGCCTCCCCTCTCCACTCCCTTTCTCTGTCTCTGGTAACCACTATTCTACTTCTATTTCTGTTTTTAATTTATTTTTCTTAATTGACCCATGAGAACTGTATATGTTTATGGAGTACAGTATGACATTTGGGTACATTTATACTGTGTGCAATGATCATATCCGGGTGCTTGGCATATCCGTCACCTCAGTCATTTGTCACTTCTTTGTGTTAGAACATTCAACATCATCTTGACTAGCTACTCAAAGATACCCAGTGCTTTGTGCACTGTGGTCTCCTTATATTTCTATAAAATACTAGATCCCCTTCTTCCTATCTCTCTAATATTTCATATCTACTGACCGCCCTCACCCCAACCCTCCTTCCTCCTTCCCCCCAACAGTCTCTAGTAACCACTATTCTACTCTCTACTTCTATGAGATCAACTTTTTTAGCTTCCACCTATGAGTGAGAACATGTGGTGTTTCTCTCTGTAACATAATTTATTTCATGTAACATAATTTTCTCCAAACTCATCCATGTTGCTCCAAATGGCAGAATTTCATTCTTTTTTATGGCTGAGTGGTGTTACATTGTGTATATAAACCACATTTTCTTTATACAGTCATCCACTGAAGGACATGTGGGTTGGTTCCATATCTTGGCTGTTGTGAACAGAGCTGCGATAAACACGGGAGTACAGGTATCCCTTTGACATGATGATTTCCATTCATTTGGGTATATGCCCAGCAGGGGAATTGTTAGTTGTATCTGTTCTATCTGTCGTTGTTCCAGAAACCTCCATACTGTTTTCTATAGTGGTGTACAAATTTACATTCCCACCAAAAATGTATATGATTTCCTCTTTATCTGCATCCTTGCTGGAATTTGTTATTTTCCATCTTTTTTATAATAGCCATTCTAACTGGGGTGAGATGATATCTCATTGTGGTTTTGATTTGCATTTCTCTGATGATTAGTGACGTTGAGCTTTTTTCATGTCTGTTGGCCATTTGTATGTCTTCTTTCGAAAAATGTCAGTTCAGTTCCTTTGCCCATTTTAAAATTGGATTATTCATTTCTCACTATTGAGTTGTTTGAATTCTTTGCATATTTTAGATATCAATCCCTTGTTGGATACATAGTTTGCAAATATTTTCTCCATTCTGCAGTTTGTCTTTTTGCTCTGTTACTTCTTTCCTTTGCTGTACAAACGTTTTTTAGTTTGATATAATCTCATTTGTTAACTTTGCTTTTGTTCTCTGTGCTTCTGAAGTATTATTCATAAAGCCTTTGCCCAGGCCTATGTCCTGAAGTGATTCCCCTATGTTTTCTTCTAGAGTTTTATGGTTTGGGGCATTACAATGAAATCTTTGATCCATTTTGAGTTGATTTTCATATATGGTGAGAGACAGGGGTCTAGTTTCATTCTTCTGCACATGGATCTTCAGTTTTCCCAGCACCATTTGTTGAAGAGACTGTCCTTTCCCCAATGTATGTTCTTGGCACATTTGTCAAAAATCCGTTGGCTAAGAGGAAGCCAAACACAGATGCGTTTGGGCAAGCTGCCGCCACCACCATGGGGCCCAGCTGGGGATTTGAGGCATGGAACCATGGGAAGCAGAACCCAGCCACAAATAGGCAAGGTGCTGCCACTTCCCTGGGCCCCAATGGGGTCCTGAGGCATGGAGC